TCCATAGTTGGAACAGAGCAGAAGTGAGTGTATTGTATGTCATGAACCAGCACAGCAGGAACAACATAACAACAGTAAGGGAAGCGTTAATAGGGAAGGAAGGGAAAAAGGATCCATGATGCTAATTAAAGAACATGTTGGTGTTCTCCTCCAGAAGCACAATGTCACTTCTCAGCAATAATGTTGTGATTTACTGAATTTTTCTAATTCACACTCCTGGGAAAGAAAAGGGACAAAATGTTCTGTACGACCCAAATAAGAACAAAGTATATTCCGCCAGGAGATTAAAATTCCCAAAAGGCAGACAGTGGCCAAAGTTATTTAAAGAGTGACTTCCCATCTTTTCATTCACCCATTGAATAAAACAATATTAAACCACACTTTAATAATTCAGGGACCATCATTTCTCTTACTTTGCTCTGGCACAGAGCTTAATCACATGAAGGGCTCCCTACATGCGGTCTCCAAAAGGATGAAAGTTGAATTCAGTTATTACAAAAATAACTCCAGACTCTTAAAGTGTTCTCTTAACCTTAAGGGAACTTAAACAGTCTCCGAAAATTGCCTTGCACAACATATCCTAGCATGCGTTTATACACATTGTATTTTAATATTGTCAACTTGCTCACAAGTTCCTCTGTAGCTACTCTTTTATTTGTATGTATTGAGCAACACACTTCTTCAATTATTTCCCCCATAAGATAATTTATCTCTTCAAATCCAGAGAAGAAAGGGATGGAGCTATAAACAATCAGTCAGTCAGTCAATCAATCAATCAATCAGTCAAAATTAGGCACATTGAAACTTGTGGTATCCAGGAAAGGAGATGTTCATATTAATTTTAAAAAATATATGCCTATACACATGATCAGACTTCAGATATTTAAAGAACTGGAGTCCAACAGTTTATAAAACAAAGTTTATCTTTGCTTAGCAAGACAGAAAGATTTTATTTATCACTGTATTACTAAATAAATTAAAACTAGCACTATTCTGAACTAAAATTAGTGGCTCTAACCTGTTACATCTTATTAAAGTGTAACTAAAGAATGTGTGAGCCTCACCTCAGAGTGAAAAATGTTGTTACATAAAATCACAATACAAAAGTACCCTCCAAATCAAAGATAAATGTGTGAGCTTGCCAGTAAAGTAACACCAATTATTCCCAAATTTTATGCCTACCTCAAAGAACAATCTAGCTCAAGAAGCAGTAATTCAAATGTCATTTGCCTATTTTTTTCTATAAAAATTGTTTGTGGGGTAGAACTGAAAAGGCAGTAAAGGTAATGTAGAAATAAGTGGAGTAAAAATAGAGCTTAGAAGTACAGAAATGAACTATCAGTATTTTAAACTTTCAAGAATAACTGGCTAATTGATCATTGGTTTGGAAAACTGGTGAAATAACCATCAGTATTCAGATGGAAATGAATAATACATTCTTAGATGGCCCACAAGACACTAATTCTCAACCTTCAGTGAGTTCGCAATGTTTCCATACATGAGCAATAATAAGAAAAAAGTAATTGACACAGGCATTCATGTGGAGAAATTTCACCATCTAGTCACATTTTTACTCTTTAGTAGAAAAAACCTCTCTGTGTGTAGATGTATATAAATGCTCTCTGTTACCTTTAACCTTAGACAGGAGGACTAACAAACTGGGAGTGACCTAGAGCCAAGAGAGATGACTGGGAACAAATTCCAAGCACAGCATTTGTCTAATTGAGAAACCTTACCCTCCTGTCTTTAAGCTTTCCCAGCTCAGCCATCTCAGATTGTCTAATCATGAGTCCATTAAGCCATCTCTGTTGCTGTGAAGATGAAGCTGACAGCGCAGTTACTTGAGTCAGTTTAAAGAGGCCCAGGGTGGTTGAAGGGAAGGATTAGGAGGCCTGGGGGTGCCGAAAGGTCATCCTAGCTCTAGCTCCCAAAGATCCCAGTAGCACACAGCTGTCAGGAGCACAAAGTTACACTTAGAGAAAACCTTTGGAGAGAAGCAGGGATCTTGCAGCATGTCAACAATTTTACCAGGCACGATTTCTTTTTCACCTTTTACTGTCCAGATTAATAGATTTAAGCAGTGGCAAGCATGTGAGAGAGGCACAGAATCAAGACATTTCCGGGATGGAGGTTCTGCTATCTGGTGATCACAGTAGACATTATTTGGCATTTGAATGTGATTTTTGATGAATCCTAGAGCACCTCTGCATTTGTCTAATCAGTATATCCTGTCAAGGCGAAGTGAAGTAAAGCTCTCTGCTTCTGTCTTGTTGAAAAGATAAGAGGCCGAGGAGTGGAGCTCAGAACAGCATCACAGGGCAGAGAAACATCTCCTAGAAGGCACGGTGAGAGTTCTCTGAACTCTACAGGCGATGCCCAAGACATCACCACTAACCGGTATTATTGTAGGTGACAATTTGTCATCACTGTTTGTTTCACAATGTTGCTCTTCCAGAAGGAGGATTGCTCACCACTCATCTACAGAATTTCCTGAAGATTTCATTCTATTCTTCCTGTTGTGGTAGCAGTAAGTTTAACAGCAGCACTAACAATAACTTTAATACCTGCCTCTTTTGGTGGAGGTTTGGGGAACAGATAGCACAGGTGCCCATAATCATGTCCCAGGATCTATACTAAGCACCGAGGAGGCACTATTTTATTTCAACAACCTTTTAAATGGGCATTATTATTCACTGTTATTTTACGAAGGATATAATAGACACAAACAGTTTAAATACTTTAAGAAGTAGTGGAGCTAGCAGGGGCTGGGGATTTAGCTCAGTGGCACAGCACCCACCTGGCAAGCGCCAGGTCGTGAGTTCAATTCCTGGTACCAGAAGAAAAACAACAACAAAAAAAAAACCCCAAAAAGAAATAGTGGAGCTAGGATTAACCATGTCAAGCTCTTGCCCTTAACCATGTCTCCATATTGTTCTCAGTTGCTATCCACCACTGAAAGAATATTTAAATTACTCTCAAATAAAGAAGACTTATTGAAAATATATCTACCCTCATATGTCAGTCATCATTAATTATACAACTTAGTGAGAGCCAAAAGTGTATCACATTATATTTCCACTGTAAAAACAACTGGGGAAAATCAAGATGAATTAGAACCATAGAATTTTTTTAAAAAGTGTCCTTTGTATCTTTTACAGGCAAGGAACATGACCTTGAGTGATATTTGGTATCCTTTCTGAGGCAACCAAGCACAACTCAAACCAGATCCCAAGACTTCCAGCTCAGAGCTCAATCTATTTATCTCCATCATAGGAACAAATTACAGTATTACTCTTGGTCTTACAAATGAAATCACCATTAGATTTTGTAAAGAACAAAAATAGTCAAGTATATTTCATATATCAGTTAAATCAAAACACATTTTCAAAGGGCACGTTTTGGGAGGTGGAGTTTTGTGTGCATTTGTTTTTTTGTATATAGACCGTGTATATAGATGAACAACAAAAAATTGTTTCTGCTGTACTAAAAAAAGTGTCATTCAGGGCTAAAATTTAAGCATTCATTCATAACTATAAACCAGTTCAATCAACCAGCTCTGATGTTTACCCAGAACAAAGTTACTCACATTCAGTCACCTGTAGGGAGGCACGGTGTGCACTGTACAATGTACTTGAGCTAATTAACATTTATTGCTGAGAACCCTCTCCAAAGAAACAGTATTCTTTATATGCAATGGTAGGAGTTCTTCTGAAATACACAAGACCAGGGCTTTCTACTGAGGCAACCACTATTTTGCAATGCTTTTAGGAGGAGTATTGTTGCTAAGCCATGTAAATTATTAAGTGAGATACCAATTTTTTTAACCATATCATTAGAAATTACAATTTGAACACCTCAAGTTCTAATCATGAAACCCTTTCTGCTAGTAGTGACCAAAAACCTGGGTGGAAATCATAGGTCTTTACTTCAGATAGGCACACACTATTTGGTGTGAACGCTATGAAATCTTTGCATGCAAATTCCTACAATCCTTTATGCCTTCGTCTTTGTCCTCACAAACACCACTGCACTACCTGTTGTGTCTATAAAAATCTTCACAACTTTAAAGACCCGTCTTTCAATTAATGCTGACATATTTTCTGTCAATAATTTTCTAATCCTAGTGTGTGACTACTAACCAAATGAAATATTTATGGTTATACTATAGAATATTTTAAAGACAACTGCAGAAGAATGTACACCATAGATTAAAAAAATTATTATTATTTTGCTGAAGTGGCTTAGTCTGGTAATTATGATAGCAATAATAACTAATCATTAAATATACACAGAAAAATAAACAGAAATTTATCAAGCTTATGGGACCCCTAATTAAGAAGATATATCTTTTAAATCAATGAATTAAAAAGTTAATGTTTAATATAAGTGAGTACATTAAAATGTATGTTATGGAACATATAGGATTTATTTGAATATTAGAAAATTAAATCTCTTTTTAATGATTATTATTGATGAACTTCTAAAAAACAGATTTTGGAGAAAAATGAAAACATATTTCAAACATCCACTACATTGTTACCATTCCCTGCATGCATGGCCCCTCCAGTACTATTAAATAAAAGACTAAATCACAAGAAAGATAGCTCCCATTACATTATCATTTATGTTTTAAAAATACTGGACACACCAGACATGTAAGTAGGTGATGTATAGCTATGAAATTCATTAGGTTAGCTTTAAATGTAACAATACATATTTTCTCTGAATACAATGAATCGTAAGCATTTGCATGTCTCAAAAACACAAGACCACTAATGCCTATTCTGTGCTATAAGTCACCATTTCTAGATAGAGGCTCTATTTTCTGTGAGAGATAAAGGAATAGTAAGCACTTTACACATCAAATGGTGCCTACCGTTCTTGTAATTTACACCTAAACATTACGTTAAAAATAGCATAATGAAGATGATTTGAAAATGAGAAAATGACTTGGCGGCTAGATTCTATGGTGCAGATAATTAAATGTTTTGTCAGCTTACCTGATACAGAGCCTTAGGAATCATAGCATAACAAAGCCCAGCATCCAAGATGGTTAGAATATAATGTGCCTTCCCCAGCAGTTCTTCAGATGTTGGCCACAAAGATTTGCAAATTAGTTACAATTTTTTTCTTGCTTTCTCTGTGGACAAGAAAACAAAGAGACCTTTCCAGAATCTGCTGTGCTTATGCCTCCGCTTCCTGTTCTGAGATTCACTCTATGGTACCCAACATATATCCGAAAACAGCTTTGGAAAAAAAAAAAAAAGGGGAAGGGTGGTAGCCCTCAACGTGGTACTGCCATCTACTGGCAGACACGCAGAATTGAACAGAAGACAAAACATTCCCATTACCCTCTATTGTAGAGAGGAGGTAAAGCAGTGTAGCAATACTGTTCATCCTGAAGGTGCCCAAGATGACAGCAGCGAAGAGATGGAGGGTACAGTTCCGCAAGATGCGGAAAGTGCAGACAATCACTACAATCAGTAGTGAAGCCTCTTTCGTATACCAGCTTATTTTCACCTCGCTAACATTCTTCCATAAATTTTAAAAATTGGAAAGTTGCCTTATCTATAAATAACAAAAACACTTTTAAAAACCTATAAATTCCTGTACGAAAATTAAATAGTTATATTACCTTAAACCTCATGGCTAGAGTTTTGTACGATGTTTTCCTAGGGCCTGCTCTGGTTTTCTGGAAATAATTTCTCGCTGTAGGATGAGTTATTTTCAAAGTAATCTGACTCCTTAGAGAACCACGTAATGCATATTCAGGCATAGCCCTTTTATGTTGCTTTCTGGTGAAAATCTTTACAAAGCATTGAGATTTTAGTGTAGAATAATATACTATACTTCAATAAATCCTCACTAATTTAGATCATTGGTTATATGGAGGCGTCATACGCATGCACGTGTGTGTATGTGTCCGGAACCACTGAAATTCTCTCACAGAAAACAATCTAAATCAGCTATTGCATATTCTAATGTGTTTAAAATAATTTAATAAACATTGTTAAAAAGAATACTGAAGCACAAAATATACAACCAAAATAAAAACAGCTTTTTACATGTAAAGAGATTTTTTCAATTTACGAAAGTGTTATGTGGCATTTGACTTTTCATATTTACTTTACAGTAAACAATTACAATTTTATCAGAATTTACCATTAATTAATTAATTGAATATGTTAAATATATCTATATTGATTGAACAACTATCTGAACGGACAAAAACTGTGTCAAGTCCTATATTAGCTTTGAAGACAAAGATAGAAACATGTAGTGCCTGTCATTAGAGAGCTTGCTTATAACAAAGAGAGACAAATATAGCGACACCATATTTTCAACCATGTGCATGAGAAATGTTATTTACTTAGTTTTTAATTACAGCCCCAACTTTATGTGGTAGCAAAGGAAAACAAAGTCTAGGTAAACTGAACCATTTGAGGCTTTTCCTAGTTATTTCAAATTTACCCTAAACCAATGCATGATTTTTCTCTACCATCTTTCTTTCTCATGGAGACTGACCTAGCCTCAGGAAACTTGCATACATAGACCAAGCAGGATATGGTCTCCGTCCTTTCCTTTTTCTTTCTGAGTACCCACTGAGGACTACAATCTTGTGGGGCTGGCTGCTGTGGTTCATGCCCATAGTCACAGAAGTCAGGACGTTGAGGCAGGAGGATCATTGCGAAACTAGGCAGGGCTACCTAGTGAACTCAAGGCTAGCCTGCACTACACAATGAGACACTGTCTCAAAAAGAAAAAAAAAGAATTCTATGTGACAATGGCTATGACAGTCCTCCATGTCTAATTCACCTGCGCTCTCATTTGGACCAAGGAGTACTGTCCATTCAGTTCTGCGTGGCAGCATTCCCTCTTTATGACCTCTTTTTTACCTTAGGTTTTGTCAGCTCCTCTTCTCAGGTAACGTTTGTTTCTGGCCTTGGCAAAGAAGGGAGAAAAGCAAGTAGTACCTTTCCAAGGTCACGCTGTTCACCGAAGGCCCCTCCCTGCCCCAGGCAGCCATCTCTGTTCTACTGTTACCACAGCATGGATTGAAAGCATCCTATAAGCTCCAGGCTAGGGAGACACAGTCTCTGCTCTGCTAGAAGATTGTGACTTCTCCTCTCTCCACCCTTGTGGCTAATCCTGGGTGTGGAAATGACGCCCAGCGCTCCTATCACTTGTGTTGGGCTTTCTTTTTCATCTCAAACGTCCTTTCCAGCCTCAGAAGACTTTCTTCTGGACCTCGTGTTTTGAAGCATAGTAAACTAGATCCACACATTTTCACCTTAAACCTTTCTATCTTATACCTATTGTGTTAAGCCTGCCGTAAATACTGTACTGGGTGGCTTAGGCTTAGAGAAAGCAATAGTCTCACAGCTCTAGGGAACAAATAGGCAAGCTCCAGTGTCAGCAGGGACATGTTTTCCCTGAGGCTTGTAGGGAAGGATCCATCCTTGTTTCTCGCAGTTTCTGATAGTCCCAGATGTTTAACGCTAGTCCCTGTTCCCATCTTTACACGGTGATTTCTTTGCTTCTCTTTACACAGTTCTCCCTCTGTGCATGTCCAAATTTTTCCTTTTGGTCTATATGACCAAATTTCTGCTTTTTTATGAGAACACCAATTAGTTTGGACTAGGGTCTCTGCTTATGACCTCACTGTAACATGAGAACCTCTGTAAAGACCCATTCCAATGGGAAAGTGTGCTCTGAGTTCCTAGGGGTTAGGGCTTCTACATATCTTTTCAGAGGAAGGGGACACAATTTAACCTCTAACATTTAGACTGAATTCTTTAAAATTGAATGCACAAGAATCTGAAGACTCTTTGGTCTGTTTCCAATGGCACTTAGGCAATTGGAAATTGTTTGGGGCCAGGATTTGGGGTAGGGATTGGAGGACTGAATGATGAGCTTCGGAGAATACCACAGACATTCATCATAGTAACAGTAATAGCAAAATTGTTGTAATATGTGACAGGCATTGTTCTAGGTGCTTTATATGTGTTCATTTAAACTTTACTCCCACAAATGGTATTACACACATTTTTCATAGTTGAAGATGCAATGATATATGAAGGGAAGCAAAAATACACCTATCAGTATTTCACTTGTTATTGGGACACACAGGACTATCACAGAGGAAGACGTATATATTCACCATGTGATGCAGGAGCATAAAGGAAATAACTTCTGCAAACTAGGCCACTGCCACTCAAACATTTAATGACATTTTACTGTTCTATTGCATGCTTTCTATTGTGAGAGATATCTATTTCGTAGGGACTTTTAACTTCTTTGCTAGTCATATATTGACCCTGTTCCCTACCATTTAACTAAATGTTCAGTAATTCTTCCAGTGCCAAGCATGGTATACTAACTACTTCCTCCACTAGGAATAATGTTAATTAGCATATTCATTCATTCTGATGTCTACTTTTGAGTATCCAGATACCCCAAAGAGTTTCCAGGTAGTGTTCTTTTTCAAGAGACCTGTTTTTTGGGGGAAGGGTGGCATAAGGGAAATGTAATCTAGGTCATATTTTAGTAAAATATAAATAAAATATTTTAGTAAAAATTGGTTCAAACAAAACAACCAAAGCAATAACTTTTGTGTCAATATACCTAATAGCAAAAAAGAGGGGAAAAAAACTAGTAAAGACCTTTCTTCTTTGTTACCAAAGAAACTCATTTTATATGGGCAGAATTTGTCACTTTAAGTAGGAAAATAGAAGAAAGTAAAAGATATCACAGGGAGATATCATTTGTTACAATGCCAACCTCCCATCTTTACATGGCTTTTCAACTGTCCTTCTATAGATAACTTTCAGATTTTCAGTAAGTGGACTTGAGAATATTTAGGTGAAGTAGCCACTGATTACAAATACAAAGCCTTCAAATTCTTAGTGGTATATGCCTGTACCTTGTAGACGTGTCCTGCATAGATCCAAAATATTCAGAATAGAGTTGAGCTAAAGTTACAGATAAAGGAGATTTGAGTCCTTTTCATACAAGCTGATACTCAACTTCTATGCTTCTGTCTTCATTACCTTGATAGCAAAATTACCTACTGCTGTGCCTGAGTATATGTTAAATAAATAGAAAGTAACTTACATTACGCTGCCTGTACCTTTACAGTTCTGTCTTCCACTTTAGATTTGAATCTCCCAATGGTAAATGAGACAAACTCATTTTTTCACAGTGCCTAATATATAAGGTGTCATGAATTATAAAAAGAAGTAAATGAACCTCTTCTGATGAAAGGCAATGAAATATTTTCACATCTATTACATCTTTTTTCTTTATAAGATCTTTAAAAATTGAGATATTTTTCACTTGGAAAACCTGACACAGCAAAGCAAAAATTACATGATGATAAAATTGGTCTAAAATTCAGGATAATTGTCAGTTTAAAATCTACTCACTAGATAACTTTATTATACATCAAGGACTCAAATATTCAAGATATAATAACTGTCAAAGCATTATTTATTAGATGTGCTTGAATTCAGTAATATTAAAACATATTTAACCTTTATCATAAAATTAAAATACAGTAAAACACATTCAATTTCCATGTAGTTTCCAGTGTAAATTACCTTCTGTGCTGGTGCTGTACAGCTTTGTAATTGTCATTTTGCAAAGGTATCTTGAACTACTATGCCTTTGAAAATGCTGCTCCTGCTGTTTGAAGTTACTTTCTTTTCTTGCCATTTGCATCACCATTTCTCTCCATCACCTGGACAACTATTATTCATTCTAGAATGCTCAAGGTAATGAACTGATATTCTGTCTTTCTCATCTCATAAATGAATTTGATACCCTCTGCTGCATTCTCCAAACATGAAATGGTAGCATTTTTCAGTCTACATGTAACCATTTTCTAGAAAACTCTCTTGTCAACACTACGAGTTATTTAAGAACAAGTATTATATTTTTTATTTCCTTTCAAAAATATTTAAAACAATTTCCTGGTAATTTTACAGTAGGAAAATAATATTATGTATTAGGGGGCCAGGGATGTAGCTCAGCAGCACAGCGCTTGCCTGGCAAACATGAGGCCCTGAGTTCGATTCCTGGTACCAAAATAATTATGTCTTATGGATAGGATAGCACTGTGTCACAACCTATGTGTAATGTGTTATTTACCCCTCCCATTTAGAAAGCCAGGAACATGGACAATCTTGCCA